TCTCTCTCTCTCTCTCTCTCTCTATCTATCTGTGAGAGAGAGAGAGAGAGAGAGAGAGAGAGAGAGAGAGAGAGAGAGAGAGAGAGAGAGAGTGTATCAAGAGGGGGAGTGGGAAAGGGGGGATGTCAAAGGAGCAATACTTGAAAAAATATTGTTCCAGAAGAGTCTTTGGACTGAGAATCAATAGTACTGACCTTGCTGGGAGGGGGACTGTGTTGTTGTCCAAAGGAAGTCATTTTCCCAAGGTCTCTGTCATTCATATTTCAGAGCTGGTCTATTTTGGGAATGTGATTATAGGTCCCAAAGAAGTAGCTGTGTGTTAGTCTGTCTCAGCATGTTGGCAAAATTAGAGAGAAAAGCGGGAGAGGGGTGACAAAATGTTGTGGCACTTTCGTGACTAGCAAATTGTGTTGGAAGAAGTAGATTTACACCACAAAAAGTCACACTGAGATCAATCGGTTAGTCTTCAGTTTCCACAACATTTTGCTCCCCCCCTTCTCCTCTCTGATTTTGCTGACTTGATTACAAGTCCTTCAGCATTTGGAGTTTAATGAGATCTCTCTATTTTATGCGTCAGTATTCAGGTTTCTGTTTCTTGAGGGGGGGGGAAATCCATGATCATGTGGGTGCAATTCATGTCCTAAATATTCATGCTTCAGAAAATATAGGATAGGAATCTGAAATACTCCTCTCGTTATTTCCAGATGAATGCAATTTCATGATTTTTGAAGAGCTGCCCTTTGATATTTTGAAAACAGAGATCAATCAGGATGGCTAGTAACAGACAGGATTTTCAGCCCAAAACTATTTTTTCCTTTCAGCTCACAGCAAACATCCAAAAAGCTGCCAGTGTCTAAATAATTTACAATTTCAGCAGCAATGCTGTATCAAATGATTCACAAGACCAACTTGCATTTATGATTATATTGCAACAGAACAGGGGAGAGAAGAACAGCTTTGTGAAACCAGAATTAATGAGCTGATTTCTCAAAGAATACAAAACAGAAGAATGTGGTGGACCTAGCCATGGTTTTACTCTACATATACTGTATGCATTGCCTGTATGTCTGGAGCTTTGCTTATGCATTCATGCATGATTTAAATCTAGCATTCCAGTGCAGCACTCCTTTTATTTCTGATTTCTGGATTTAAGATGCCTGAGATACAGAACATGAATAGGCACTTCCAGATGCTGGACTGGACTGGACTGGTTAGAAGTGACCAGTTCTAGCCCAGTACCCCATGCTGTTGGCTACACTGGCTAGAACTGGTCATGTGGTAATCCAGACGAACCAATGTTGTTCACTCTTGATTTTGAGCAAGATTTATTTTAATTACAAAATTATCTACTGGTTCCAGAAAGATACTTTTTCTTTCTTTTTTTTTAAAAAAAATACATTTTATTGGTTTTTCAAACTATCTACATTTGGTTCATGCTTATCAAACATCGTGTTACATGGGCTGCTTACAATTATTTGGGTTTTTTTGTGCCTTGGTGTCTTCCCAATTGTCCCCCCCCCCCAATTCCAAATTCCACACATCTTCCGATCATTCAAACCATTCATGTATGTATTTTAGTATACAATATTGGCTATTATTGTAATATTACTCTCATAGTATACAATATTTTCAAAATCCTCTAATAAAAATACTTAATAAAGGTCATTCCAGTTCCAAATCTATATAATCTGAAGTAATTTAACCGTCAAACTTCATAATTTATACGAATGATAACTGAGTAAGTTCTTAACATGTAATAGATATTATCTAGAGCATCTTATACAGATTTTCTTTGTATAGTTGTTTAACCATTTCTATCTCCACATTTTCTATCCTGTCTATAACAATATCATATCTAATGCATGTTCATTATGTACTATTTGTTTACCCCAACCTTATACAGTATCTAGCTTCAATTTACCCTAAAAAAAACCATATTATGCCTTTACCCTGATTAGTGTTCCCTTATTTCAGTTTGATTCTCTTTTTTAATATATAAAATATGCCCCTTTGCAATTCCATAAATTAGGCATATACATGCTTTCCAGCAATGAGGGCCACCTTCCTGTTTTTCCCTTTTTCATCTTTCTATGTAATTCTTTATTTTAATATTTTTTCAATTTTTGTTTCTGTCTTTCTAAACATTCTGCCATCTTTCGTGTCATCTGAGGCCATTTTATGCATTTGATTTACCTCCAATAGATCTTTATACACTTGGTCTATCTCCAATAGATCTTCCCAGCTATTTGTAATTGATTCTGCTGATTTTCTCCTCTTATCTCCCCTTAAGACTCGCTTCAGCTCCACTAGGTTTTCCCCATTAATTTCCTCTAGCCTTTCTTTAGGTTGGCATACACCATGCTCCGCCCTGTCATTCCCTTGTTCATTATTTCCTGTTGACTATAATTCTTCTTTAACTGTGCCATGAATAATTTTGCCTGTTCATTGTGGGATCTCACTATTTCTAAGATTGATCGAAGGGTAGATTTTGTTTCCTCCCAAAATTGTCCTTGTTGTGTCATTATGTTCCAATTGTCAAAAAATTGTATTCCAAGTTAAAGTTGTCTATATGCTTCAAGTAATCAATCCAGTTCCATTAAGCTTGAATTCAGTCTCCAACACAGAAAATTTCTCCCACTTAAATACTCATAGTTCCATTCAGTTCAACTTCCAGGATACAGTTTGTAAGTTCCACTTTGGCTAAATTAGACTTTCTAGGGTTAATTTGTCTGTAGTTCAGTTCCATCCTCAAAGAGAAAGGGAGTTCCAAACAGTCATAGAACATTCAAGCCATTGATTCTAGCATTTTGCTAGTGCCTTAGATAGCTGTAGCACATAGCATAAACAGATTTTGTTTTCCAAAGTTGTTATCAGTAGTGTTTTCAGGAAAAAAAATGCTTAAGTTTTAATACCAAACTTCCTTCTTTTAAGTATAATTAAGTGTCTAATTAATGCCAAATTTATTTTCCTTGTGTCTCCCTCTGTCTCTTCCTCTGCCCAGCTTCTCCACAGCTCAATCAATGATGATGGAAAGCTATGAGATGCTATTCTGCCGTAGAAGTTATCTTATCCAGGGATAATAAATAGATACAGTTTTTAAAGATGTTTCTTACCTGTTTGTAGCACAATGTTAATTAGGCTGCTTTATCACTTCTTCATACCCAGCTGCTGATGACTTGCAAGCAAGCTAGTTCAGCTGCTTGTTTCTGGCCGCTGGTCAATTAGGGAGTTTCGTAGATCAAACGTGGGTACACAAGAGTTTGTGTACTGAAACCACTCATATTTGGTAGAACATGGTGAATCTTAAAAGATCTCTGCCTCTGAATGTTTGCATGTTTCTTCTGAGACATTTGTATCAACTGAAGCGTCTTAAGAGGAAGTGATCCATTAGAACTCACTGTGGGGCAACAAATCAAGGTGAATGAAAGGGTTTTGTTTTTGCATGCAGTGATTGCAGGGCAATATTTTAAAGATGGAGGCTGGTTTTGTTACTGTTCTGGGAGAAGGCAACATAGTGTCCTGGTGTGTTAAACTACCCATTCTCCACATCCCAGACAGAATGGCCAATGTTCAGACATTTAGGAGGTTGCAGCTCAAAATATCTTGGGGGGGGGGCACCACGTTGCCAATCACCAAACACACCTTTGGTAGATTCAAATGTGTCCTGAAAAGTGATGCACTGAAATCTTACAAGTTCAATATGTGTCCTGATAAGGGGAGAAACAGTGAACACTCAACTCAAGCCCAGACATAGTGGACTCTGACTCCCATCAGACTATACCACTGGCCATGCTGACTAAAGATGAGAATTGCAGTCAAGAGTCCATAAAGGGTCATACGCTGGAAAAGGTGTATATATGCAAAGCCAGCCTTTCAGGTACCCAAAAGGGTTAGCAGCCACTACCCTTTAACTATCACTCCACTCTAACTTCTCCCCATCCACAAAAAAAAGCTATTTTTACTATCTAAATGGTAATTCCTATTATTTCTACATATGCCTGAGGATACAAAAATATTTATCTCTTTATACCTGAGTAACAAGGAGCAAAACATATTTTGTGGTTGTCGTTTAGTTGTTAAGTCATGTCCGACTCTTCGTGACCCCATGGACCAGAACACGCCAGGCCCTCCTTACAGCAAAAAGATTAAATAGCGTGAACTGATGAAGAAGTAATGGGCAAGCTTTCAAAATATAATAATAACCATCTGCCATCAAATCAGTTCTGACATAGGGCAACCCATTCAGGATTTCCCGGGTAGAGAATTCTCAGAAGTGCTTTATTGCTTGCTTCTTCTGGGGTGGGGGGTGCCCCGGGACTGTGCAGCTTGCCTGAGGCCACATAGGCTGGCAATTCTTCCTGGAGGCATAGTGGGGAATCGAACTCCCATCTGGCTCTACAGCCAGATACCGAAACCACTATAGACATTTCTAAAAGCGGGGATGATAAACTCAGGACGTTTGTTTTTTCCTGTTCTAGAACTGAACTCCCAGTTCTTTCACCCACAAACCATTCTTGGCTGACCACAAGCATTCCTCATCTCAGCAGCCTAATCTGAAGGGTCAGAGACCAGTCATTTGAATCCGTTGCTTCCACTAAGGATTTTTTAAAATTTGCTAATCAACTCCCAATCTACTCACCACCTCTGCTGTGAAAAACAAGGTGAACCTCCACAAAATGCCTCCAAAGGAACATTTAGCATAACCTGGGTTTTAGGAAGGAGAGTTAGTTCCCTTAAACATGAAGGTCAAAATGCCTGCAAGATCCCAGTCCATCTTTCTTGTGGAAGTGCAGCTCCCCCTGCTTCTCATCTCTTTTTCTGTCATCCTATGTAGAGCCTTGGTGCTTCCCTCTGTAATGGGAAGCTTAGAAAGCAGAAGAGTGCTGAGTTACTGCAAAATCAGAACTCACCACGGGAGGAGAAACTGGAGCCCGTTCTGTTTTGTGGTTTGCTTGTTTTTTGCTGGAGTGACTAGGATGGAAACTTGAAGTGCTACAGATTATCTCAGGAGTCAGACAAGATTTCCTTTAAAAGTAGCTCTATAGAAACACTAGAATAACTAGGGCTATCATCCCTTATTGCCTGGAATAGATGCTATGTGCTACCTCTGAATAGATGGTGTCCTGCCTGAGAAGGTCTGTGGCTCTCTGGATGAACAAGTATAGCTTTTCCTAGAGTGACTCCACCTTACATATGTAGTTTGTTGTGATGCATAGGAGTCAAATACCTTACTAGGATGGAATACCCAGATGGTTCCCTTCTTAGCCTCGCAAGCTGCTGTAATGTTTTGATTTCAACCATCACGTATATTTCATGTTTACTGACTGCAAAAAGTGGTTGTGTGTCCTCCTGTGTCAGTTACCAGAACCTGTAAATTCTGACATTTCTGTACAACAGTGTCCTAGGTTCTATGTACATTTCCTATTGTGTGTGAAATGCAACAGCTGTCCTCTGAAAAGGAAAAGAATTACAAAGTGGGTTCCTCAGATGTTATTACTCACTTTTCAGCTAATATGGAATGATGAAGTGTACTTTCATTGGCCCTTCTTCTCACAAACCTGCACTTAGCATCCTTGCATCCAATGTAATCCTCTACCAGTTTAGCATGAAGCAGGGTGCTTGATTTTATTTGCAAATAGTACTGTGGGCTGCATGAAACGAATATCTAGATCCATGTCAGTCTGCTGTTATGGGTCAGTTATGGGACTGAGAGAGTTTTGGTCACCTTGGTGGATGATCTACACTAGGAACTGGACAGGGTGTGTGTGTCCCTGCTAGATCTCTTGATGCTTTTGATGCAATCAAGGACAGTATCCCTTTTTTGGGTTGCTTCACAGGGATGGGACTTGAAGGCACTATCCTGCAGTGGCTCTGGTCGTTCTTGAAGAGGCAAACTCTGAAGGCAGTGCTGGGGAACTCTGTTCATATGCCCTGGCCAGGGCTTTCTGCTGTCACTCACACTATTTATTTTCATTCTACATGAAATCTCTGGGAAAGATTGTCTAAAGTTTTGGAGTGTGGCATCCAAAGTTTTGGAGTGTGGCATCATCAACTCTCTCTCTCTCTCTCTCTCTCTCCTTCCCATCTAATTCCAAGGAAATGGTTTTGACTCTAAACCGATGCCTGATATCTGTAGTGGACTGGATGAGCTTCCCCAAGATCTTCATCTACCAGAAATTTACCTGTGAGAAAGAAGACTGAGGCCAGCTCCTGTTTCAATGAAGAAGGTTACTTTGTTTTGTTTTGAGTTTGAGGTTCTTGCTGGTGTAGCCATTGTATTTTATAAAAAGCATAAGCTTCTTTTAGAGTTGAAAAACAAGCTATAAGATCTACCAAACAGAGGGGGGAAAAATAAACACATATCTTCTAAAGAAATGACAAGACAGACAACTGTTCACTTTTGTCGGCGAACCTGTTTGAGGAAACTTGAATTGGGTCACAATGAATTAGCACAAAAAGGCAAAAAAAGTTCAGATGAGACCCAAGTACGGCTACTTGATAAAACTACTTATCTGAGTAGAATTTTGCAGCTAGCTTGAACTGGCTTTTTGTTGCAAGTTCCATGAAAATCTGTGGACAATGCAATGTGTACACACAACATGTTCTGGCTTGCATTAAGATAGAATCATTTTTATTGACAGCAAAAAATGACCTCCAGTGGAGGCTTCTATCAAGGCAGTGAAGGATGTACTCTATTGATTCCAACACCCTGCTACACTCTCTTGAATCATGCTTTTCTGAAGACTTTCCTGAACACTACAGAATGGATTTGGAGGTATGCACAAGATGGCTCCTTCCCCATAACCACCCTGTGTGTGTACTGCTTGTTCTCTTCCTTTGTAGTTGAGGAAATGATATTAAATACAGTACTTAAGGAAAGAAAATGGCCAGGAGATGTCTTCAAGGTAGATTGCCCATATCTGTAACTCAGTTCTGCAGTACTGTCAAAGCATGACAACTGGTAGACTGTAAAAGCTGAAATTCCTCCCAGGTTGTTCAATGCTATATCCTCTAATGAGGACATATTTCCTGGCTGCAAGTGCTACTTTGGTTGTGAGACATCCAGGCCAAGTGTGTTTCCTTATTTACAACTGAAATGTCAAAGGAAGTGTACATGTACCTCATGTGAACCACAGAGAAAGAGGGAGGCAGAGGACATCTTATCTGAGAGCTTTGTCAAACCGATTTTAATCTGCAAGGGAGGCCCCAAAATAATTTCACGAACGTCAACTGAACCCTTGCTACCTAATGCCAACCATCATATTAGAACAAATTCTTCAATTTTTGCATGCATGCCTTTTAGCCCTAAATAATTACAAAATGGTTTGTTTCTTTGACAGGAGAACAATGCAAGAAATTTTCCACTTCCCTCAGCATTCAGACTCCATTGCTGATTTCTTCCACCACCGCCCCCAGGGGAAGCCCAGATACATGAATCAGCAGTTGAAAACCACAAGCCACCTCTTCCTCATAATCAGGCCCTTGCTTTCTTGCTTGTGTCAGTGTGTAGAATTCTTAAGAATAGCAGCGACTAGCAAGTTTATATTGATTCTGCTCTCCTATAGTGGCAGCAGAAGCAGTCTCAGTTCCTCTAAACTGCCTAGGTCTAGGAAGTCCTCATAAATGCCCTTGTTTGGGAGAACAGAGGCATGAGGCATGTGGGATGTACCAAGGAGGAGAAGGTACCTTCATAACACAAAGCACCTTTTAAAAAATGACCAATATTTCCAAGCTCTGACTAATGTTTTCCTGTCTTCAGAGTCATATTTTGTTCATCAACTCAGTGTTTTTGGGGTGAAAGATGGAAGACACATCCTTTCTGCTACAAATTATACTTAATAATGTGGCCTTTATTTTCTTCTTTCACTTGAGCATTATATAATGGATGCATGTATTTTAGCACAAAACTAGATGCAACAGAACAGCCATGTGAACGTAATCTATGTGTCTGTCCTGTTTATATATAAATTTGAGTGAATATTTCATACTAAACATGAAAGAGCACCCTCCCACCCTGTCTTGGTGTCCTGCATTGCTTTTAAGCCAACTTCTTCTTGCTCAGCTCAAAAAGCAACAGGTTTCAATGAGGTATGTGTGGCAGAATTTCCTTCACCCCTGTTTTATATGTAAACTGGTACTCAGGTGCCCACACATGTCTAGCTGAGCCTCAAGATCATCATCTTATTATCTCTTTTAAAGCAATATTTACCATTCTGGTAAGTCGTATTTCCTTATCCTTTTGAACAAAGTTATCTGAAATTACTGTACTAAGGAGATCAGGACTCCATTTGCATTGACAATTTCCCTTCCAAATCTTCATACATTATAGTGGTGCTTTCTAGAAGTACACAAGAAAATGTTTCATTATTGCAGTCATTTTTACTATCAAACTCTTATTCTATTATCCATTCATTAAGATTACACTCATTGGGTTATCGATCTGTTTAAATCACATTGAATTCATATGCCATATATTTTTCTTTCTTTCTGTTGCCTGCAAAGGTTGCAACACAGGCTCCCTCTAAGCGGATCCCCCACACACAGGCAAGAGAAGTTTCCCAAAACAACTCAGAGGCTGCATTAATGACAGCCATGGATATTGCATTCTGGAGATTAACATGGCAGCCCACACAGATGGCCACCAATTCTTATCATGAGCTCAGTTCCCCCTGCCAAAAAGTACTGAGTCTTTGGGTAAATGGAAAATAAAATAGGAGCAGCCATAGCAGTGTGGGAATAATTCATTTCGTTCACTGTTTAATGCAAACTTAACTTTATTCCTTTTTATAACTAATACAGACACCAAAATTCAGTTATTCTTTCATATTTGCATCTCAATAGTGGATTTCTTAAGTCAAAACACATGTGCAAATGTGTATTTTATGGAAAAGAAGATACACAAAATGCAACTATTGTTGAAAACAATGTTTAACATTCATTACATCAAGAAAATAGTGTGGAAAAATGGTGTCTATTTGGGAAATGCTACATTTTCAAAAGTGTGTCATGTCCCCACAGGAGAAATCCTCTTTGAAGGACAATCCAGAACCCCACAAAGTCGCATGACATGAAGAAGACTGCCTCTAAAGACCCTCAAGGGAGAACCTGGCAGAACTGTTTTGTTATTCGTCCATGGAAAGTAAACATGGACTTAATAACAAATCTCATTGTTGAACCATTTGTCCCTAAGGAATACCATTGTGGGAGGGGGAATGTGTTAATCAGAAAGAAGTGTGTATTCCTTTTAATATCAATTTTTGACTATTATTCCAGTACTAATAATACTCTTAATAATGATGATAATAATAATAACTCGAATAACATGAATACAGTAAGAACAAATGCTTACCAAAGTAGTCCTGGGGAAAAAACTAAGATTGTATAGCAACTTAGAAGGCTACTTTTATTTTAATTCTTTGCATGTGCTACTCCTCCTATAGCACCCATCACAGTGTACCTGAAAAACTATAGAAAAATTCAAGGATAGCAAACTTTTCAAAGCAAATGGAACAATATGGATTATATGCATGTGCCGGACTCATTAAATTAACAAGGCAGAGATGACTGAGTCTGCCTGTGTATGGCACACTCACCTGACAAAAAATCAAACTCTTGATGTGCAAAGAAATCCATGAAATATACTGTCATCACTCTTCTGTCTTGGGGCTCAACTTCATGTTGCAATGCTTCTATTTTTCCGTTAGGTTTAGCATGCTTGAAAAGAATTTAAAAAATCTTCCTACATGATGTATGTGTAAGGGAACATTGTTTATGTCAGAAAGCAAGTTTTTTTAAACACCCACAGGGAAACTGTTTATTTTAATCAATTCCAATCACCTTTTAAAAAAATTATTTTGGCATGTGTGCTTGCCTGGATTGAGTTGAGTCTGTGGAATTTGTTAAGTATCAGATGCCAGGATCACAGGTTTTGGTCTACAGGGTACCCTGCAATCCAAACTATTATATATATTCATTCTATCTGTAACATTGATCTAGCGCTACGCCACTTTGAAACACATTTTAAAAATTCAATTATGAAAAATGAATAAAATGAACAACAAAAGATTTACAGCAGTAGTAAACAATTCTCTACAGAGGACAAGAACTCCACAGCAGAAGAAAAAGGTTTTTAGGCATGATGAGGAAGCCAGAAAAATCAGCAATTGGAGTGCCAAGGTGCCAATAAAAATGCAATGATTTTAAAGCTTGTGTAGCCACCTTGCTATGCTATGAGTACATCCTAGTTAACTTGGTGGGATGTATGTCTTAGTAATATACACATGCTGTAAGCGAATATTTTTCAGTGAGTATAAAACTACTTGCTACTACAGGTTTAAAAACAGACTGGTTCCCCTTAGAGATTAGATGCATAAAACAAGCTACTGCTATGAGCTCATGTAAAATCTTTGATAAGTATATGTTGTTGTATATACAAAGGAATAGAATGGATACACTTGATGAGCTGCAAGCACTGAGGCAGACTGGTTCCCCTTAGAGATTAGATGCATAAAACAAGCTGCTGCTATGAGCTCATGTAAAATATTGGACTAGATCTTTGATAAGTATATGTTGTTGTATATGCAAAGGAATAGAATGAATATACTGGATGAGCTGCAAGCACTGAGGCAGACTGGTTTTTGCATGGTAATGGAAACTACAGTACTGTAATGTTCCCTGCATTTCTTAGGCTTAAACCTATATATCTTTATTCAGGAGTAAATCTCCTTGTGGGATTTAACCTCAAATGAGCAGGCACAAGATTCTAGCCTTATTTCCTTCAAGATATCTGGCCTCCCAGTCCCTTTTTCCTTTGACTACAGTTCTTAGGAAGGCTTGGAACAGTATTCCATTTCCCATACCTTGAAGTCAAACAAAAAGTTTGTTAAAACAAGGGTTACAGTAAGTTTTGCCGTTCTGCTCCTGGAAGATGCCATTGTGCAGCTGGGTCAGGCAAAAGGCACAGACAAAGTGCTCTGGGTGGAACCTGTGACCCACGGCACTGACACAGCGCCCCACGATGGGCTTTCCACAACCCTGGCACACGGTTCCCTGGTGACGGTGGAAGTGGAGTTCACAGTATGGGCGGCCATTTAATTCAAAGAAGGAGCCATCATCAAAACTGCAAAAACAGTCCTGAAAACAGAGGAAAGATGAGTCAGAGCATAAAAAAACCTTATTGCGAGTGACACACAAACAAGGTAATTGCCAGGATATGAAGAAGCTATGATTAGTCAAACATCGCAATGTGTGAACATAAGGACTAGATGGTGATTGCAAACCCAGTGACTTGCTATACCATGATATATTAATCTTTCTCCTTGCTATCCTTACACAGTAGTAATTGCCAGGATATGAAGAAACTATGAAATGATTAGTCAAACATTGCAATGTGTGAACATAAGGAGTAGATGGTGATCGCAAACCCAGTGACTTGCTATACCATGCTATAGTAATCTTTCTCCTTGCTATCCTTACACAGTTACAGTCATGGAACCCATTGGGCGTTGAGCCTGTTAGACAAAATAATAATCCTTATCGTCACAGTGGCAGCTTGCTGGAGTCTGAGTTACAGGAATAATATTTTACTGGAATTGTAAAAGCAATGGAAAATTCTATTGTAAACATTTATCCTGGTACATCAGACCCCTATTATTTGCAAGCCCTGCAAAAGAGAATGTTGATAAATGGATGGCGGCAGATCAGGGTATAAATAATGGCCAGGAAAGATAGTCAGGGCAAGGAACAAAGGGCTAGGAGAACCCTGTTAGAGTGTAAAAACCTCGGTTAGTGGAGGGATAAGATCCTCTCTCTCCTTTTTTACTATATATGATTCTGTACTTGCTCTAGTTTATTAATTACATAATCTATTAAAGAACTTATACAGATGAAAGTTAATTTTTCCTAATTTAGTTGAAATGTTTTTGTAATACCTTTTAATTAAGTCTTCGTTGCACTAACTAAAGAGCTCAGTAGATAACTCAATGGTTTAGGTATCTGACTGTGGAGCCTGAGGTTGGGAGCCCAATGCTCCACTGAGTTTCCTAGAAAAAGATCTAGCCTCTGAAGCCAACGGGCAACCTGCACAGTCCCAGGGGTGCCCCCAGAAGAAGGGAAGGGTAAACCACTTCTGAATATTCCTTACCTCAAAAATCCTGGAAGGGGTTGCCATAAGTCAGAATTGACTTAATAATGCAAAATTATTATTATTTACACTGGAATGAGGTGTTATTATCTTACTTTGAAATACCATATTAAACTTTATTAGAGTACTTACAGATATTTTCCATCTAGTTTATTCAGCTCTCATAGTTATATTCCTAAAACATTTGTATTAAGTTTTGTAATCATATTTTTGAATATTCAGATACTTGGAAAAAAATAGAACCCATTTGTATCTGCGTGTGTGTGCCTGCTTAATAAAAAGAAGAAAATTTCTGTTTATCTGCCTTGCACGGGGCAAAAAAGTTAAAGGATATTCAGAAGAAGGGAGTAAATTGTACAAAGTTCAAAACATTACTCTGGTTTATTCTGGATTTAAACATGTTGGGGTAAATGCCAGCTGTGGTAAACACAGGGTTCTGAGTTTTCTCCAGAGGTCTATAAAGTTTTGTAAGTCTCTTGGTGAACTATTCATACATGTGATTGCACATGTCCCCACGTGCGCTGCTGCCCCTTTGTGCATGCATGTGCCCCCTGAGCGCCCCCTGCCCCTTTGAGCACACCAGCAAGTGCACGCCTGCACGAGCACCCCCTGCCCCTTCACACATGTGTGCGAGTGTGCCCGTGTGAGTACACCCCCCTTTGCCCATGCATGCAAGCATAGAGGGGTGCCCTGCCTTCCCTGCACACAGACCCCGTCCTCCCCCAACCGGTCTGTGGTGTCAAAAACGTTGGGGACCACTGGGTTAGGGTATTCTGGGAATTGTAATGCAAAAAAGTAACTTCTTAAAGCTGTTCCCAGAATAGTCTCTAACTACAGAGAATTACTCTGTATACTTACACCACACACAAAGCATTCAGGGTGCCAGACAGCATTCAAAGCTGATAAATAGTGATCGAACACGGGCTTGTCACAACCTCTGCACTTCAGAGAAAAAAGGGCCAGGAAATCCTTACGGCAGTATGGCTTCCCATCCTTCTCATGGAAACCTATGGAGGGAGATACGGAAAGACAAATGGGGATCATTTACCATCCATCCCTTTGTCTGTGTTACAGCAAGCCACATCACAATAAACTAGTCGGTTCAGCTCCTAAATATTGGAATGGTTAGCAGACCACCCTTCCTTGTTTGAAAAGAAATCATACCCAGACTTCTTATTCTGAGAAAATGGAAAAAAAACTAGTGTTTATTAGACAAATATATTGAGATAGGAAAAATTATAGGAATCCACTCTAAGTAGGATGGGGTAGAGATGCAGGGAGTCATGGCTGCTCCCCGTCTCTCAGGTACAAAGCTAAGCTGTATTTAAACTACACAGTTACCGCAGGTTGATTCCACTTTAACCACCATGGTCAGATCCTACAGAACCCTAGAATCTGGAGTCTGATGAGGAGCTTAGAATTATCTGCCAGAAAGCTCTAGGGCCTTTCCCTGATGGACAGCAGAGGAGTGTAAGTGAGCAACTGCAAATCCTGGGATCCTATAGGGCAGAGCCATGGCAGTCAAAGTGGAATCAGACTGCTGTAACTGTGTTATATAGTGACACCCATGAAAAGGATCAAGAAGGAATGCAAGAAGGAAGAGAAGTGACATCAGCCACTGTAAAGGTATCATTCTAGGTTGAAGGAAGGTCAGCCCAGGTGAGCGTCCAAGACACTTGAGGACATCCATCTCTCTCTCCTGTATTCCATTATGCATCTTCTTCAGTACAAACGGTGTTGTGTCCAACCACCTCCACTCGTGTTTGGAGAAGATGGGGAGAAAACGATCGTTACTCTACTATATCATCTTCGCAACCATGTAGTGAGTTATTAGTTTGAAAGCTTTGGCACAACGCAAGGTCTTCTATACCCAAAATTGTTTGACCATACCAGTTTCAATTTGGCTATGGTAGCAAGAAACAAATATGAGGCATACACAGAAAACAAGAAGTTCAGTTCCTATTTTCTGGCAGCTCTTGTAACCAGCCTGTACGAATTATGATGGACTGAGTGGAAAGCAACCCACCAGCCACAGTTCTGGTATTGCCACCCACCTAAACTGAAATTTTAAAAAGCATGTTATCGCTTCACAAGCTACACAATATGGACTTGTTGATTGTGCTCTGCTGTTCATAGGTTGCCATATTACTTGATTCATCAGGTTTTACCCAGAGTTTAGGCATGCCAAACAGTACCCTCTGGGACCATCACTTGGTTTGAATTCCAAACGTAAATTTTTAAAAAGGAAATCTCTAGCTCTTACAGAACCAAAAATATAAGATAAAACATGCAGTTGCTGCTTTGACCAATTGCTTTGCAAGAAATAAAACTTTCAGTGTGATGAATGAAAGAGTGACAGTTTGACAGGATATCAGGCAAAATCCAAAGAAACAAAACAAAACAAAAAAGACAAAAACATGTGGCATCTTAAAGAGTAACTGTTATATTTTAATGCAGCTTTCACGGACACATCCACTTCGTCAGACATGGCAACAGAATGAAATGTTGAATGAAATATCATTTTAACAAGTAAAACATTTTAAATATTGATTGGCTCTTGGTATGATACATCTACATGGAGTAATTTATGGCCTCTGTTCTTTAGGGTATTGTTCTAAACTATCCTTCAGGAGACAGAAAACAGACACCCAGCCTGAGCAAGGATTGGGAGTGTGGGGGAGAAGAGAGAGGAAGAGCATGTGTGTTGGTGGGGGGTTTGAAGACTGGGAATTAATTTAAAGAATCTATAAAAGTAAATAGGAAAGTGAGAGAAGATAGCAGAGGAATCACATTTGCTCAAAGAGAAAAACTCTCAATATTCCTTACATTGACAGTTTTTAACCTTTGAGCCTTCTGATAAGAAATGGGCTTGGTAGTTATGAAGAAAACAACAGTGGCAATAGATAACAGCAGAAGTATTACATTTGGTAATGGCTTAAGAAACCTAGGCTTATATTCAGCCCATTTATATGGGTGTCCATTATGAGTATAAATTTTATCTCTGTATTATTTATTTGCTATGGTTCTAAAATAGTGACCTTTAAATGTTCTACAGAGTGTCCTGGTGACAGGTTCCTACAGGTTTCTCAATACAAGACTCATCCTCTCTCAACTCATGGGCCAATGTTGCAGTTGTGGAAATGCCTGGTCCTGGCTGATTTGCAGATATCTGAAATCTGTTTGCAAAGCTGCCTCCCAGCATTCCTGATCCTATTGGCAGTGACCCTGTGGTGATTTTTGGCAATTAAACTCTCCTCCCCCACCCCCATCCCAAGGGCAAAAGGGAGCCCTAGAGAATCCTGGAACCTAAACTGGAATGATAGGAAGCTTTTAATAAATTATAATTACATTTTATCAGTGGAAAATTTATCAGCTTCTGCCATGTACATTTATGGCAACAGAATTTTGCCAAATGAGAAGTAAATTATGGCTAGGGATTGTAGGCATTGCAGTCCCCTAAAGGAACTTTTCCAAGCTGAAATATGATGGGTCTTAGTGAGCTTCAAAAAAATAAAAACAAGAAAAGATTATGTTTTGTCTTCCACAGACTCCTCAGAGCTTTGCTAGGTGCTATCCTGAGGAAAGGAAGAACTGAGAAAAGAAGACCACGCACACGCACACGCACACGCACACGCACACACAAAATTAAATGCAACAAATACTCATCATCCCTGAGCATTGGCTTTGTTGGCTGATGCTGATGGAAGCTGGAGTGTGATCACACCTGTAGGACTACAGTTCCCACTCCCATCAAAATGCTGTCTTCTCAGGGTAGGGGTGCCCTAATTGGCTCAAAGAAAGGAAACAGAAGGCATCCTCACAGGAATGGAGAGAAGAGGAAACCTTTAAAGGTACGCTGAATATGACTCTATGACCCAATATACTGCTACAAAACAGATAATGATTCTTTGATGGCAAATGAACCACTTTATTAAGAGAACTCCAGCCGATCTGCCTGGTTTAGTCTCAGATACTGTGTGTTTTTCATACCTAAACTAGATTTATCATTGCAAAATTAGCAAATCTTGGTTTTATTAAGATCAGCCTCCTCAAGCACCACCCTAAAACATAATATAACCAATACAGATGACTTAGATTGTCCATAGTATCAGCCAGCTACAGTAATCCAAATGGATTAAGATAATAATCTGGTACAGGGCAGTCATGGACTGGTCATGGTAGGGTCACATATCTTGCTGAACTCTTGTGGTGACAGTTCTTCTTAAATGTTTACAGCTGAAGAGAGGAAAAAAAATCTGAGATTGCACAAAGCAATCCAAGGTTATGAAATAACTGCCAAAGAGTGAACATTTCTGAAAGTTACTTTTAATAGTATGAAGCAATAACAGTGGAAAGCAGTTCTCAAGAGAAGCTGCCACCGATGACAAATAATGGTTTGAGGGAAAGGAACAAGCCCACTTAGGAGTCTAGGGAGGAGGTATGGGTCGCCCACAAAACTTTCTATGCTCCAGTTCTAATTAGCAGTTTGGGGACTTGAGCATACTGCTAAGTGCTCAGCCATCCGCTGGAGAACCAATTACTGGAGCTGGGCTCCTGGGAGCGCATTAGCACCAGTCTGTGATCAAAGTCCCACCGGGAACATGAGTGTGTTTATGGTCTTGTGAGGGTTATTTGCACAGAAGGAAAATAATAAGTTTCTGTGACATACTATCCGGTTTGGAGAAGGGAGAGAATTCAAATACACCCATCTATCACTATTCTACATCCTTCGTGGACTTATTCCTAGGAGAGAAAAACAAAGCATTCAAAGCGAACAATTACGACAAAGTCCACTGACAGACAAAAGCCTCTGCTGACACCAGTGATTCCTTTGTTGGAAGCCCTCAAGAACGTCACTGTAACATTTCCACCAACACTGAAAACATGCTCCTTACACATTAGAAACAGTGCTATGTGACATAAGCCAACAAATCATCAATGAAGCTGGCTCTATCCCTACAACATGTCACTGTGAGCAAATGTGGTATGATTTCTACATGATGGGTTGGATCCAGAGTTAGTTGTGCCTTGAATAGATCCTTTGAAATCAATGAAACCAGTTAGTCACAACTAGCCTCAGCCCCCTAGTTTTCTGGGCCTGTTCTAAGCATGACTAGGACTGCACCCAACTAAATCTTTTTCAGTTTTCAAATTTGTTGAAATATTGAGATGTCACCATTCTTTCCTGTTTCAACTGATCTGCTTAATGCTCGAGATCAACTTCCCCTTTCATCTTGTGCCCAGTTGGGGCTAATATTGTAAGCAGGATTAGACCTAAGAGTCTCTTTTTCTCTGCTGAATCAAGACCATATTGAAACAAACTAGATTCCACATTATTTCACATGGCTCATAATGTGTACCTCTTAGTTTAGGAACTCACTTGTGAAATTAAATACCAAGGAGATAATATTTTGTCACCAATAACCCCAGACATGTGCAAAAATGAAAGGCTTAAAAAAAATCTAAAATTTCTGTTTGTTGGCCAGAACCCAATAAGCTGCTTCCATGGACAGGGTGGTTACATAACAGCACTGATGTTACCTGTCTGTCATGGGTTTGGAGGGAAAGTTCCATCCTATGGGGAGTGGAAGGCGGGACATCAGGAGGAGGGGCTGTACTGTATAAATATGTGATGCCTGTGTGGTGAAGAGGAGATGCTGAGACAGACTGTGAGACACTGGGTTGGGACGAAGCAGCAGCTGGGGAAGAAGAAGCTGTTGTGGGAGTCTGGGTGTCTGACAGGGTACTACTGTGTGTCAGAGTACCAACCTGAAAGGTTCAGGGGTCTGTGGGTTAGCCAGAACTGATGGGTTCAGGGTCTGTGCTTTAAGTTAAAGGTTCTAGGTGAACAAAACTGTATGCTTGTGTGTGTGAGAATAAGCCACGTTACTTTATTTTATTCACCCGATTGTTTTATTTACCCTGTTTGTATTTAAAATAAACCTTATTCTTTTATTGTTTAAAAATCCATCCCTGGTCTGTGTGACTTATTATAGGGAATGGTTGGTGGCAGCTTAGTAACTGTGTGATAGATCCCAGTAGGTCTGGGTTTGTCACATTGATTGGTGTCCAGCGTGTGGGATACGACTGGTCCAGTTGTCCAGCGGTCCAGCAAAGCCTTGGCAAGTGTGCCCAGAGCAAGGGGGGTCTAGTCAGGGACAGTCTGAGGCGCGTAGGTAATCTTCTAGGTGTACCTCACGGGGAGGTGCACTAGTAGAAGAACGTGCCAACTGGGGAGACTTAGATTAAGGTGCTCTGAGGCAGCCTAGTTTTGGCGGGAAAAGCTGAGGCAAATCTGCGTAGCAACAGTTGGTAGTCCTTTGGGCAGTAGGCCTTGCCTTCCCGCTCATAGAAGGGGGAAGAACCCACTTCCTTTCCACAGTGGGCACAGAGGAAATGTTCAGGGTGCCAAGTCTTTCCCAGCGCTGTAATTACCTGGAAATACCGGAAATACCAATTAGGATCTTATAGATGGTACAGCGGTCGCGGCGGCAGTGGCAACAAGGTGAGAACGCACATGCCACCACAAAAGTTTTGAATTTGGACTAAATTCCACATGACTTTAGACTGAACAACAAAAACAGCAATCCCAACCCTGATCCCTCTGCAGGTTTCTTCCAGCAATGGGAACAGGCCCTTAGCTAGTTAACGAGAGCTAGGAGTTGATTATCTCTCTCGTCCCGAGAATGTTTCTCTCATAAACAAAAACTTTCTTATTTTCTTAGAAAGGAGAGTGGACACAATTCCTTTACAAAGGGGGAAGTGTGCTTAGATAATCATTCTGAATTTCAAAGGGCTGAATCTACAAGTTAATGTTGATCCAGTACTGCTGCAAGAGGACTTTCCAAGAAGGACAAACCTTATAGGACAGTTTGCATGAGAACAGGTCCCTTCCTTCTACCTGAGGAGAACCTGAACAACCTGAAGAGCATGGCTCTGATTTTGATCTGTATCAAATCAGTAGCCTTTCATAACAACCCCTGTGGGATGGGTTCGGAAAGTCAGATTCCCAGATTCATAATCCACCCTCTCAGTCTCACCTTTCCAGCTATTGGTTTGTTGCAGGAAGCACAGTTGCCTTTGGGCACAATGGACACCCCAAGGCCTTGCATGTCATGAGTCAGATCGTTCAACATGCTGTCTAGTTTATTAGCGGTGTTATTTCCTGTTGATAATGGCTGCCCCAAATCTTCCTGTCCATCTGAGATCTGCAAGACAAGCAAACGACCAGAGAATAGGAACATCCAAACTATTGCACCAACCCGTAGTGCATGTGTGTGTGTGGGTGTGCACACACACATATGCATGCACGCATGCGCACACACAGACAGACACTATTTCCTCCTTTATATCTTCTTCTTTCCAATTAGAAGTCCAGTCACTGATACCCAGACAGACCACAGGGTCAATGCACTGCTGATGCCAAGAAATAAACTAGCATTTTCTGTCCTGAAATTTGAATTGTGCAACACATCCTTCTGTTTTCAGCTGTTAATTTTAACTACCCTACTTGCCCCTCTTCCCTTCTTTAATCCTTATCTTCTCTTTCCTTTTAGGGGTTGCTGCCTTATCTCCTTTGGCAAGCAGTTTCATTATGCCCTTTCCCACTTTTCACTTAGTGATTTATATACAGTACCTTTCATTTATTTTTATTTATATATTTTAGTATACAGTTGAATTCTTTTTTAATAAAAAAGCTCAAAGTAGTTTAAACCAGAATTTTTAAAACAATAAAATATCTGAAAACATAATGAGAAAATAAAACAAGGAAATGCACAGCAGCAAGAAGGAGAGATAAACAGACATGTTACACGTGGTGAAATCAAACTTTAACAAAAACATTCCATTCTTTCTACTTGGCAGGGCCTCAGTGCTTTGTGTTGGTCATGCTTCCATGTTATCTTCATTTATATGATTCCTCAAAACCTCTGTAAAGCCTCTTCTGGCCCCTCAAGACTTTTTCTGTGTTGTACAGTTTCTGGCCCTTGGGGAAAACAGTGGGCACTAGAAAAAGCTGTGCTAACCTCCCTTATTACATCCCAAACTTGCCTACTAAATCATATCTATTATCTGACCCATTATTCTGCCAAGACCATTTCCAGGGTTGATGGGCCTAAACGTTATTTGTTGCCCCATCACCATATCCCTCCCTCTCTCCCCCCATTTCCTTCCTGGTCATTAGGAACCTTTCCCTTCATATTTCTTCTATCCAGTCTACATCGTAGAATGTGTATGCACTGAATGATGCCATTTTGCTTCTATTCCTCAGCTGCTGGATTATGAATAGCACCACTCCTATTGTGCTTTGTAATAAGGGTGTCCTCTCAGCCTGGTGCCCATCAGATATATGGAAGCAAAATCTCTCTTGACTACCGATTGTGATGGCTTGGGTTGATGGGAGTCGAAACATGTAACATCTGTGTGGCATCGGGTCAGAGAATGTTGGTATAGCCTTGCCATGTTAAATATTACTGTGCATGAGACTCCTGCTTATCCTTTTGGAGGGGTCATTAGGGCCAGAGTATCCATGATTCACCTTAGACTGGAGTGTTCCCAAGGAAGCCAAAAGGTCATCCAGCTGTTGAGCAGCTGAGGTTGAAGATGATGAAGAATGCAATGGCCGTGGAGTCAACAACTTGCTGCAGAGGAGACAAAGTGACATTTGTAACTTAAGGAAAGGAAGCAAATTATTGACTTCTATGAATAGTGTTCACCTTTACTCACTAACAGTTTTCAGTCTCAAAGACATAATTTGCAACATACCTGAACTCTTTTTTTTTTTTTTTAAAAATTATCTACAGCACTGGTTCTTAACCTTGGGTTACTCAGGAGTTTTGGACTGCAACTCCCAGAAGCCTTCACCAGAACATACCTGAACTCTTTTTTAAAAATTTTATCTACAGCTCTGTTCTGCAATTAGAGCACTATTTCAGTATCTCTGCATCATGCAAACCCTTTTGGCAACTGTGTCAGTTCTCACCCAGCTCCCACCAACCTACATGGCAAGCTGCCGGTGTAGGTAGGACAATCTACCCAGTGAAATGGCAGACAAGATGGTGCCTGTTCTGCAATCAGAGCACCATTTCAGTGTCTCTGCATCGTGCAAACCCTTTTGGCAACTGTGTCAGTTCTCACCCAGCTCCCACCAACCTACATGGCAAGCTGCCGGTGTAGGTAGGACAATCTACCCAGTGAAATGGCAGACAAGATGGTGCCTTTAAAAATAATGAACGTGCAGTTTAGCGACAGAAGTTCTGCTTGAAAAATAAGCATTCCAAAGAAATTATGTAGTGATAGGAAATCTAGTCCTTCTCAGAGCTTAGAGATGTTTTCTTAGAGCTTAGAGATGTTTGCTAAGATTACCTAGTCAGTACTGCCATAATCATACTGTCCGAGGAATTCTTATACTCCATTCCCCCACCCGCCAGCCACTGATGGTCCTCCACTTTCTCATCTGCATCTCTTGACTGAAAGCAGGGGTGATAGATGTTTGGTTTTTTTTACTATATCTGCTAGGATTACCTAGCCAGCACTGCCATAATCATACTGTCCGAGGAATTCTTGGAGTTATACTCCATTCCCCCACCCGCCAGCCACTGATGGTCCTCCACTTTCTCATCTGCATCTCTTGACTGAAAGCAGGGGTGAGGTTTTCTTGGATTGCTGCAACCCCATAAACCCTGGTCAGCAACCCCAAAGGTGAGGGATGATAGGGGTACAGTCCTATAATATCTAGATGGCTATAGATGCCCATCCCTGATCTAATCAGGGATTAAGCTGTTATTTCCTTGAAATACTGGAATAAGATTTTAGTCATGGATGGTAATCACAAACCTACGCTGTTTCTGGTGCTCTGAGCAATTCTGATATCCTTTAGAATGTAGGCAAAAGACAGTCAGAAAGTATATCAGTTTACAGTTCCAAAGTGGTTCTTTAACTTGTAAACAGTGTATTAACTGTAATCAAAAAAGCAACCAACAGAACAGTAGCAGTTGGGACTCAGGGAAGAACTGCAGGTTGAGATATTTGGTTCCCATTCAGACTGGAAGTAGCATATTTTTTTTAATTGAATTTTTCTCTCTTTGTCCTAAAAAAACTTCTCTGGGAATTCTACTGTGGGAATTCTAACTCTTCTGTGAATGTTAAGAATGAATGACAATTTATCTGAATGGAGATAACTTCATCTTGTATATGAATTACACTGGAATCATATATCAATTTACATCAAAGTAAGTCCCTTTGGCCCAGATACAGCATCTAGACTCAATGGTGCTTTATCAACCATCTACTGCAGCCTTTAATGTAATTCCAAATACATTTTCAGAGAACAACAGTTTAGAAGCCACACAGTTTTGATAGTTACACGCAGAGGGCTCCCCCCAGAAAATACAAAGCACAAGAGTCCACGAAACTTGAAAACTGTTTTGCATTCTTGCTGTTGCATTTACCTGTAAATATTGTCACCACCTGCTTCCTGATGTTGAATACCATGTGCAGGTTGTGCCTAAGAATACACAAAGAGCAGATATTCAAGAGAAAGTTGCTTCTCTCCCCACTCCTTACCCAGTCACCTAAATAGATCCTACTCCCCCTATACAGTACTGTTAATTAGGTAATTATTTTCTGTCAGCATTTTGTGCTATCAAGTCACATTTGACTTGTAGCAATCCTAAGAGTGTTTTCCACCGAGATATTAAAGGAGTGGTTATACCAGCGCCACCCCACCCTCACTGAGTTTCCATGGACAAGTGGGGATTCAAACTAGCAACCCTAAGAGTGTTTTTCACTGAGATATTAAAGGAGTGGTTATACCAGTGCCACCCCCACCCTCACTGAGTTTCCATGGCCAAGTGGGGATTCAAACAAAAGTCTCCTGAGTTCTAGTCCATGACATTGTCCACCAGATCACACTGGGTAGCTCCCTTTCCATCCTAGTCCTGTAGATGGAACTAGCAGGCTTGCATACTAACAGATGTGTAGCCAATTTCCTTAAGTAATAATCTGTCATTAGGATGGTCTCTGATATTCATCCCAAGCAGCTGTATTTCTTGCAAAGCCAACTACTGTAGAACAATGACCTGTCTGGACCAGATTTGCTGAACACTCAGCAAGCTGTCTCCAGCACCCCCATCTGAGATGCTGCTTCTCAACCAGCTGCTATCTATTGGCCTTTAACCAGAGATGCCACTGAAACCTGAAACTGGGCCATGGTGTCACATAAAGACTGACAGACATATAAGAAATGCTGGAAAATGGTTGTTTTGGGTTTTTCGGGCTCTTCGGCCGTGTTCTGAAGGTTGTTTTTTCTAACGTTTTGCCAGTCTCTGTGGCCGGCATCTTCAGAGGACAGCAACCAGGAAGATGCCGGCCACAGAGACTGGCGAAACGTTAGGAAGAACAACCTTCAGAACATGGCCAAAGAGCCCAAAAAACCCACAACAACCATTAGACTCCGGCTGCGAAAGCCTTCGCGAATACAATGCTGGAAAAGATTCTACAGTTGCTTTGAATGATCATTCAGCAAATATTTAATCTTTCTTTTACATAGAATTTTCCATATTTTAAATAAATAAATATCTGAGCCATATTTTGTACTTTGTGACTTTGGGACATCATTAATACAAGTCTGTTTCATCTAAAATCTTCAATAAATTAAATAATATGTCAGTAATTAACCACTGGTGTGGAAAGGCCAAGGGCCAGAATTAATATTCTACTTGAGATGAATTAGGTTCCAGCCTTCTACAGCTTCCTAAGGAGACAGCAACATAAGCAAAATACCTTCTTTGCTTCTGGAGTAGCTCGTTTATTGTGCTGGGTGGCATTTTTATCTCCTGCTGTTGTTCCTGCTTTCACCTTATTGTCACGGTCAAGAAGAAAGCAAGGCTTTGAAGGTTCTGGGTCACTCACATTCAAACTCTCTGAAGTTTGCTCCAGTTCTGCCAACAAAGCATCTGAACAGCGACAACAACAATAACTTTACAGCTTGAATTATGGTGTTCCTTTCTTTCCCTCTATACTCTTTCATTTTCTCTATGTTTTGCTTCCCATTTGATGGTTACACTAGATGCTTTAGCATGTTCTTAGAAGAGGTGCTCTCTCAAGTGGTGAAAGATATCTATTTGTCATATCATGTGGTTTCCCTTTTTTATATACTGTATCTAGCATTTAATGTACTTTGTCTTCTGGTTGGTTATTAGAATGTAAACATGACCTTGCTTTGAAACTTTTGGATGCATATATGACAGTAAAATGGATTAATCAAAGGTTTACTTATTGTTTTGACCTTGAGATGGCTTTGACAACAATAAAATGGATTAATCAAAGGATTACATATTCTCCTTAACATCTGTTTTGACCTTGAGATGGCTTTGACAACAAAAGATTTCCACTGCATTAGAAAAAAACCCTGTTCCTTCTTAACAAGGAGCTACACGTGGCAACAAGAAGCTGCTTGTTGCAATCAGTCTGAATCAGTTTGAATCACTATTTTACCAGACTTTGAAAATAATCTGCTAGAAATTAATTTATTCCCCCAGGAAGAGTGCAATCTTGGGTACCAAAGATGGAGTTGACTGAGCTGACATTAAGACAGCTGAGGCAGTGCTGAATCCAGACCCCTCCCAGTCTAGGAATACTATACTGGATATTCATTACGATTACCTTGACCCTGGCTTACTTTGTGTTATCATGCCATGCGTGAGTCTGGCCTGAAGGGTGTTTGGATCTGGTGTAGTTCCACTCTTTCCTTGCCCCTTCCCTTCCCTGCTCTTTGTTGGCCTCTTCTGCCAGCTGATCTCAGCCAGTACAGCTGTGGTGCCAGCAGATCCAGTTGTCTTGGCAGGACTTTGGAAATTGTTCTGGCAAAGGAGGCCTCTGTCAATTCTAAACTCACTGTAGCCTGCATATCTTTTGATTGCTCTGCTTGTTACCATTTTTGACACTGTATTTTAAGTTTGTTATTTTACTAATCATATCACAATGACATTAAATTCTTTTACAAACATTTCACATGCAAGGTATATTATCAGAACTGGCCACTAGGGAGATAGATAGATAGATATATAGCATAATCTTTGGTTCTCTCTAGTGGGCAGTTCTGGTAATACTCCTTGGAAACATGCATTTCTGGATTTTTTATTTGATATTTTCAGGCAGTGGATAAGTGTAGCCACAGGTACTGATTTTCATGGAAACTGTGGTCCTACTCTAATTTATTATTCACTCTTAGCCTTATGCAATAAATGTCCTTATCTACTGGCATGGTATCCCACAAGATATGATGTTATGGACATCCATATCTTTCTTTTGCTTGGGACTAAAATAGATGGCAAAATCTCCCATTTTTGCTTTCTCCCACCTTTGACTGTTTTAAGTTTTGCTAAAATATTATTTAAAAGAAGAACACTGATAAAATTCTGTTACATCCCTAATGAATAATGCTCATAAATGTCTAGTGGCTGCTTTTTGGTTAACTAGGAAACAGCTGGATCATTCGTCTTTTGAACTGGGTAAGTCAGCAGAGCCTGAAAAACTTACTTTTTTGGATGCCAATTCTCTAAATCCTGCATCCAGTTTAAAAAAAAACTTTCCCAAGATCTGTCATATTCAAGTTCTTACCCTACCTCAGCAGAGAAATCTTGATGCCACAGAAACCTGCTGCTACCATTCTGACTAGGCCAGAAAAAGAATGAAGCCAACTCACTCTCAGGGGGCAACTTGAGATTCCAGTAATAGGACAAATATAAGATAAAAGTCATTCCCAACCAGAACTGGTGGACTAAAAGAGCACATTTTCCCTCACAGTTCCTTCATGCAATGATAACTTCTGTTTAATTTGGGTAAGTTTGTGTGTGTTTTTGGTAGTGAACATTATTCTATCCTTCCCTCTATTTTTTTTGGCTCTAGTTGTTATTAAGTGTTTAATTTGCTTTCCTTCTTGGTTTGTCTGGGCATCCACATGCAAATATGTATTCAACTGAATTTTTCCAGGAAGTATATTTATTTTATTCATAAAGCAGGTGCAATATGATCATACTGCATTTTCAATTCATAATGTGCACATGAACGACAAACACGATTATTTTAATTGCCTGTTCCATTCATATTTGTATGAATGAAATAACTACAATACATTTCGTTTCTAATCCATTATGTATGTTCATTATCTCATCTTAAATAAATCAGTACAGTTTCAGTTCAACAGTTGCTATTAAATTATATATCTCATCATTAGTTTAACAATCAGTCATGAGGCATCTCCATAGCGATAATACAAATCTTTTTGTTTGCTTTTACTTCCAGAGTTGTGCTTGAAGTAAGCCTGTTTCCCCTAACAGGATGACTCTCTTTGAGCCTGAAGATTAGAAGCAGGAGGCAGCAGTGCCACCCTGAGAGATGGACCTCCTGAAACAGGGTAGGCAGCCTGGGTCACCACCACCACCATCAAAGAAAAGGCACGGCATTATCTGGGACTACTTAGAGGTGAGAGAGGATCACCATCTACTTTGAGCAGCAAATGAACAGGGCTAAATTGCTAGGGCATTACACCACCAGCAGCCTGCTTGATCTCTTTAAGAGGTGGCAGCATCTAACCTTCTTGCCCGGAACAAAGGTAGCAACATCCCAATGGCCAGCACTGCAAGGCCCAGCACAGAGGAGAAAAATAAAGAATGCTGAACCCACTGAGAGCTGCTCTGTTTTCCTCCAGCAAGAGGCACAGACAGGCAATGATGGAGAAGGTAGGGTGGGTGAAATGTTTGGCCAGAAGACAGAGGTTTTGAATGCTAGCCCAGATCATTTAATGGCTCAGTGAGATGCTGGCACTAGATGACTTGATAGCCCTTTCAGTTTCTTCTCAATGCAGTATTTTGGCCCAAAATGTTGGATATGCTCGTAGGTGGTCTCCAAAACTGAGGAAAGGGTGGTTGGTTAGATGTGTGTAGCTGCTTCCTGTTTTACACTGCCCACCTCTTCACCTCTTTGCCTGCCTGCCTCTAAAAACTGCTCTACTTCCCTGGTGTCCATCTAGCATGCACTCACACCCAATTTGCCTTGGCCCTAAAATATTCTGATCAGCACATTTGGCCTTAGCTGCCTTTTCCAGGGCAGCAGTACGTATATTAAGTCCAAAGCCTGGACCTTAAAGGTATTCTTTAAGGCTCTAAAATGGTGCCTCCCCCAAGCAGTGGGGCTCTGGCCATCTGGAAATATTATCTTAGATTTCTCCAGTGCCCAGCTCATCCGTGAAAGAATAAAACAGAACAAAATTAAAAAGTTACTGCCATTTTGGTTTTCTAGTGAAAGTCAATGAAAGGCTTGGAAATCTGAATTTCTGAATTGATTGAGATTTGGGGCCCAAATTAAATGGGGGTCTGGGTTTCCTTGGGTCTAATAAGACTCTAAACCAATTCAGGAAACCCATGCTCAGCCCTAGTTAAAAGGGAGGAGCTTTGATCTCTGCTGCATTTGGCTACCCATTAATGGCAATAATTGTTCTGTTGGAGGAAGTGGAGCTTTGTAGAACCAAAAGCGAGAGTATATACAAATCATGAGATACTTTTTAAAAATTGTCCAGCGTCCTCTCTATTATTCAAAGTTTTGCAGCTTCAAACAACTGAGTTCCTTTCTTTAGTTTCCCAGTCCTCTTTATAGCTTGTCTGATTTCCAGCGATTTTGTTCTGCAGCTATCAGCTTCTCTAATGAACCCTCCACTATCTGACAGATTGCTTATAATATTGGCACGATATCATATTGTCAGAAGCTTCTTGTTTGAAAAACGAATGAAGACAAGCTTCTTGTATTCCTGCTTCTGTTGTGAGGTCTCCATTATTTCGGTGGCTGTGTTCCAGCTTGAGTTCACCTCTCCCAAACACCTGATTCAAATAAGGTTGTGGCCTTTCCCTCCACAAGGTCTTGTCCTTTAATAGCTGACCAAAGGCAAAAATCCAGCCTTTTGCAGTTTGTTTCTTGTTCTGGGGAAAGCTGTGCCTGATGATTCTTTACTTTTGTGCGTCTGTTAATGGCACAAAGCCTCTGTCAGAAAACATGGTTGCAATTCATGTGTGATCTTTTCACCTCCACCATTATTTTTGCCACTCTTCCCCCACATCCATGAAATAGAAGTGAAGATTGTCTTTCATACACTGCACTACGATTAAACACTCCTTCTTCCCATCTTTACCCTTTGGCTACAAAGGCTTACCTAAGTCATCCATTGCCTGGTTGCACAGAAGTCTCCTCTCCCACAGATCAAAGACTTTCCTGTTGAAGAAACCGAAGGGGAAATGAGCAAGATGGTGAATCTGTGGGGCAGCAGTTTGTGCAGCCTTCTTTAGTTCTTCCGTCTTTCGTAGGACTTCCTTTCTTTAGAGGCTGAATATTTTTAACCCCCTCCCCCAGTGAGTCACCTTTTGAGGAGCTAAAAATGTACACAAATTTGTTGAACAGGAAGAGATCGCAATCCCGTACTTTCAGATATGTGCTTTTCTGAGATTGTGGTGCTGCATTTCTTTTAGACAAGGGCCTCTATCCTATTGCATCAAGCAAGTAGTATTTGACACACAGAGGCGAACACACTCTTTGAATTGTGTTCACCTGGGACGACAACAGACTGGGGATAAAATTAATCCATGGCATTGCCACTTGACACTGATAGCTGTTGAAAATCCAAATGTGTCCTTCACTCAGGATGTGTTCAGGCAGGGAAGCGCGGCTGCACCGGATCATGCTGAAAAGGATCATTTCACTGGGTGCAATCTCCTTTAAAGTGCCCTGGAGGAGAAGAAAGATGTTTTTGTATGAGTGAGTGTGAAAAAGGTGGCTTTAAAGTCTGGGCACCCCTTTCCACCCATTCCCAGCTCATGCCAGGGCTCACCGGGACAATATTATGGGGCTGGGGTGTTACTCCAAGTGACCCGATGGGCCAACTGTGGCCCACTGGCTTATTCTCCAGATCTCTTTCCTTGCTCTTTGGTGCATCAAGTCTCCACACATCATGTCAATTTGAGCAAGGCAAGGAGTGGACCACGTGTACAAATCCTGGCTGCAGTGGCACAAAGTCTGGGAGGAAAAAAAAACCCTACCCTTGCCTCCCCCCCCCCCCCCCCATTAGAGATGTATGCTGATGGTAGTCTCCTTTTATTAGAGCCATAAAGAGCAAACTAGACTCATCAAAAAAAGTTTAACTGGCAGTTTTGTAAAAACAGTGGCATTCTATTTGTAGTGGGTCCCTCTTCGTGATCACCTATCTAACAAAACGGCAACATCCAAAATATATCAAGGAGTGACATATGGTCTTGTTGCCTCATTTGTCACCATAAGCCAAGCATTCCCACCACACTTAAGATCATTACAGAAAAGAATAGTCTTTTCTTATCTCTTCTTCAGGAAACCAAGCAGAAAATACAGATTTATCTATCTAAATTTCTAACATTTATTCCTCAGGCTCCTGGCATATTAAAAATGACAAAAAAATAAGGGCAGAGATCCAAAGAACTAGTTTGAACACAGAAAAGAAATCATTTGGATCTCTGTTCTTATTTTTAGGTGCTTTTTATCTTTCCAGTGACTGGATAGCTCAATGGGTTAGGTATCAGGCTGGAAAGACAGGGGTTGGGAGTTCAATTCCCCACTGTGCCTTCTGCAAATAGAGCCAATCTGTATGGCCTTGGGCAAACTGCATAGGCCCAGGGTGTCCCCAGAAAAAGGGAATAGCAGACCACCTCTGAATATTCTTCTACCTAAAGAAAACCCTGGAAAGGGTCAACATAAGTCAGAATTGACATGATGGCACACAATGAGTTTTTATCTTTCCAAAGACCAAGCAGGAGCTCATCTTTCCAAAGATCATGTTTCTAATAGCTTCTGAATTTCTCATTTCTTAAAAAACCAAGTGCTTCATTTTACTTTGCAAAAGTTCTGATTTGCTGAGTCATTGGTTTGCAAGTACCTCCAGGCTCTCAAAGGCTATACCACCAAAGCTGATGTTCTGAGGCATTCTAGCAAGCTGGGTAATGCTTTGTGTATGACTTTAGTGGTGCCAAATGATGACTAGCCTAGTAAGGTTCATCTTTAGGAGGTGGATCACTCATTAATAAATGGGTCACAGAAACTATGAACACAGTGTCAGAACACACACACACACACACACACACACACACACACACACACACACACACACACACACACACACACACACACACACACTCGATTCACACATGAACCTGCAGATAACCGCACAGCCTAAACCAATGTGAATGCATTCAATCAGAAAAACAAAAACAACAACAACAAAACCCACAAACGTGAAGCCCCAGCAGTAGAAGAAAAAAGAATGGACTCAAGGCTAACTGACATTAACTTGTGCATAATGAAAATAATAGAAAATAACATGAATCTGACCACCCCAATCCCAGAGCATTTCCCATATTATTGGTAAATGTAGTTGCCCCCATCACATGGTTATCTCTTTTTACACTATGGCATAGGATTTCATGGACTGATCAGGATTCTATACCTCTCATCTAGTCCTGGGAAAGTATTTCTTATGGTCTTTTGTTGAGGGTTTGGCCTGTTTCTTTTAATTTCATTTCTCAACATACCTCTCATGGCACATCTACTTTTTGTTATGTGTGGAATATATTTATTTATTATTGATTTTATTTATTTAATTTATATGCTGCCCACTCTACCCAGAGGTCTCTGGGCGGCTTACAACAATTAAAATTCAATACAATAAAAGATAAAATGATTAAAATACAATTAAAATACAATTAAAATTGCCATCAGGACCCACAGTAATGTGTATGGTAGTTGTTTTAACAAATAATTATAAGCTGTACCCAGGCAGCACGATGTTAAATCAACATGGCTGGATTTTATATAATTAAAAAAAATGCAAAAAAGATCAAAAAAGAGATATATTTCAGGTATTATAAGTAACGATAAAGATTTAATATGAAAACAATTGAAAATGCATGGAAGGGAGGGAATTTTGGATAACATTTTTTTCCAAAGAAAACATTGGGAAAGAGGTTAAAAAGATTGATAAACCTGTTCTAAAAAATACTCTATTTTTCTATTTATAGTACACCTTTGTTTATAAGACCCATGGCTCAAGGCAAGACTCCTAGAAGACAATAATGCTAGAAAAAGCTGAAAATAGTAGAAAAAGATAAAGATTGATCTAGTCAAGGAATCCACAGTCCTTAGTTTGGAAGACCTGAGCAGGGTGATCATAGGACTTTTTGGAGGTCATTCGTGGACAGAGTGCCTGACGAACTTTGGATAGAGGCTCGTAACATTGTACAGGAGGCAGCAACAAAAACCATCCCAAAGAAAAAGAAATGCAAGAAATCAAAGTGGCTGTTCAATGAGGCCTTACAAGTAGCTGAGAAGAGAAGGGAAACAAAACGCGAGGGAGATAGGGAAAGCTACAGAAAATTGAATGCAGACTTCCAAAGAATAGCAAGGAGAGACAAGAGGGCCTTCTTAAATGAACAATGTAAAGAAATAGAGGAAAGTAATAGAAAAGGAAAAACCAGAGATATGTTCAGGAAAATTGGAGATATTAGAGGAACATTCTGTGCAAAGATGGACATGATAAAAGACAAAAATGGGAGGGACCTAACAGAAGCAGAAGACATCAAGAAGAGGTGGCAAGAATACACAGAGGAATTATACCAGAAAGATCTGGATATCCCAGACAATCCAGATAATGTGGTTACTGACCTTGAGCCAGACATCCTGGAGAGTGAAGTCAAGTGGGCCTTAGAAAGCTTG